ATGAATGGATGAATGAATGAAATCTCTTTGTCACTGTATATCGTAGGTGTGGAACTCAGTGGGTATAGTAAGATGTCACACAGAGGAAGATGACCTATCAACCATTGAGGTTGAGTTCCATGATGCAAGTACTCACCATCCCTTACATCTCACTAATCATCTTAACCACACCATGGCTGCGTTGTCTTCTAGTGCTGTACTACTGGCATGCAAATCACAAGATGATATGAAAAGGTATGGCAATAATGTTGATGATAGAGGTAGTGGTGTGGTGGTTGAAGGTTTTACTACTAATCGATTTTTTGACAACAATGATGGTGATTAACTACTCATCCAGTTTTTTTACATTGCCCATCATTTGCTATATCATCTCAATAGATTTGTTAACATTGCACGCGCACACACTTTCCGTTGCATCATTCCTATCTAAAATAATGGTTATTGTAATCTGTATTTCATAAATAAAAAAAAACTTGCTTGCTGTGCTGTGTGTTGTTATAAAGCACTTGGGGATTGGCAGAACACTGGAAAAGTGTCAAGAAGCACTCCGCTACAYGTCATGCTTCTCCTAACACTTCTCTCATGTTCTGCCAATGCCCACGTGCTTTATGACTGCACACAGCACGCGCGCGCGTTTTCTATTTCTTCATTTCATAATGAGTTCATTATTAATAATCATAATGATTATTACTGTTGACTCTTGTTACTACAAGAAAGTACTGACTCATTTTGTATTATTTCTAACAAAAACTTTTCATAGTGGCATGTCAACTAAAGTTACTTTATTTGCAGTAAACTTGTCTGTCTCCACTTTGGAAGTTGGGACAGTTCAAAGGAATGGGTTGTTGATCTTCCAAGTAAAGAAGAGATAGAGGTAAATTATTGATGTTCTTTGTTGTTTACTATGATTTGGGATGCAATGCATTTTCTCATAGAGTTTTAACTCTAGTTCCCACTGTTTTGAAGGCAACTGATAATGCAAACAAGAATGATCTTTTCTGATAGGCTTATCACGTATCACTTTTACATAATTGAGTGGGTGGGGGGATGGAAAGATTGATGTATGCTTGGCTGAGTGGTAGCTAGATAAATAGACAGACAGACAGTTAAAAGAAATATCTTGTTGAAAATAGTAATATTCTTAAATCATTTGTTCCTGATATCAGGTAATTGCTGTGGGACAAAACTGGGCAGCGGTGGCCACTAACAAGTTCCATATTCGTATCTTCACACTGACGGGTGTCCAGCTGTCCCTTATTAGTGTCCCTGGTCCAGTGGTTTCAATGTCAGGTCACAACAGCCAGCTTATTGTAGCCTATCATGCTGGGAACCCTTTACCCAATGAACAATCTCTTGGATTCAAGCTTTTTGACTTGAGCACTCAACAGCAGATTGTTGCAGATCAAAGAATACCTCTCAGTAGGAAAGCAACTTTAAGCTGGATTGGGTAAGTAATGATCAGCTGATGATGGTGGTTGTCATGATGGAGTTATGATGATGGTGTCGACAGTAATGATGATGGTGATAATAATAATAAATAATAATATTTATTTATAAAGCGCAAATACAAATCTGTTCTAAGCGCTAGTAAACAAACGACAAAGACAACGACAAAATAAAAGATGGTGGTGATTGTCACGATGGGGTTATAATGATGGTGTTGATGGTGATGATGGTAGTAATAATGATGGTGATGATGGTAATGATGATGGTGGTGATTGTCATAATTGAAGTAATGATGATGGAGTTAAGGGTGATGATGGTGATGATGGTAATGATGATGGTGGTGATTGTCATAATCAAAGTTATGATGATGGAGTTAATGGTGATGGTAATGATGATGGTGGTGGTTGTCATGATCAGGTTATGGTTTTGACGGTGATGGTGGTAATGGTGGTGGTAATAATGTGTCAATTCGTTTTTGAGTTCATAAACCATTGCGTTGTGTGTTTTTGTGTGTAGCTTTTTGGAGCAACTCTTTTAAATTAATTGTGTTAGCTATTATTTTGGTGAACAGGTAACACCAAATGAGGTTCCTTTTAACCCATTTCTGTGACAGAAAAACTATTTCCCTTTGTAATAATTGTATTTGTTTGTCAGGTTTTCTGATGAAGGAACACCAGTAGTAGTAGATTCAGTGGGTATTGTCAGGTTTCTCAACCGCTCATTTGGTTGTACTTGGACCCCAGTCTTGGATACCAAGAGTCAGGTAATGGAGAAGCGTTATTGGCGCTAATATACTGTGAATGATTCATGTCATAGACCACCCACACCATAAGAAGTGACATAATTTTTCAAGTATTTTCAGGTTTCCAAAAGACACCAACATCATTTAGCACCATGAAATTGTTCTGTCTTTTCTAATACCACAGAAAGCACATTCTTAAACTGTTCCTTGTAAATTACGGCATCAACATTTGATTCTCTGAAAACACTGATCAAGTTCTGTGATTAATATTACTCTAAATCAAACGAGTTACTTATTCCATTGTTTCGGGGTTTTTTTTCAGTTAAAGAACAAGTCTGATAATTATTGGGTGGTTGGACTGGAAGAGAGAGCTAGACAAATAAGGTAAAATAAATAATAACATGGGTTTGTGCTTCATATATTCTTCTACCATCTCTATGTCCAGCTGAACCCTTCTCAGTTACCTAATTCTTACTTAATTTGGCGCGTCTTTAATTTCGCGATTGTAAAAAATTGCGAAGTTAAAGCCGCGCGAATGAAAGTCCTTGCGAATTTACGCACTTGAAATTTTAAAAATTACTATGGTAAAAATTTTGAATCACAAAAAACTTGATAAATATGATCAACGACATGTACAGCTTAAGTATCAACATAACCGATATTGTTAGTGGCTCAATGAAACTTCCACCAGAAGATCCCTTCRAAGACCTTGATCTTTAGGAACATTGTGGACTCTAGGAAAATATGGGCACCTAATATTAACTTTTTCCATTCTTTTTGAAAAAGTTGAAGTTCAGATTTTTTAAAAAAGAAAATGATGTTGACAACGCTTTCGCGAAATTTTTAAAGGCCAATAAATCGCGAAAATAAAGCCTCGCAAAATATTGTCTCGCCAAAATCGCGATATCAAGTACGCGCGAAATCCTCTACAAATAAGGTACTTTATATTCACTGAGCAAGTCAAGGACTTTTTATGGACAAATTCAGAACAGAATGTGCGTTCGTCCTTGTATTTAGTTTGTCTGGGAAAGTTTGTATGTAAATGTTGTGTAAGCATTTCTTGTTTCATTTTATAATCTTTTTCTTGTGATCGCAGGTGCATATTGTGCAAAGGATCCTCGTTTCCCCCTACGTTGCCACGCCCTATCCAGGCTGTGTTACCCCTTCAGCTTCCCCTTTGTGAAATGTCAACAGACAAGGGCGAGAAAGAGGTGAGAACTTTGTCTGATGTACCTAGAGTTCAGCCATGAAATATTTCTATTAGGGAATGAACCGCGTTTTTTACCTTGAGGGAGGCTGGTTGATTCGCAGTAAACTTTTWAAAAATTGTTGTAGCCCTCCTCCTTCCGCTCAGTAGGAAATGTATGACCCTCCTATTAAGTCAACAAGGAAACATTTTTTGAAAATAAAAAGGTTTGTCCCTTCGCAAAATGTTCCTCCCCTCTGAAGCCCTAGACCTCACCAATAAAAAAACGTACTTTCCCTTAGACAATGGTAAAAGAAATTTTGTGTGACCTGACGAGAACGCTAACTCCTAAAGAACTGGATGTCTCTAAGACTTATAGTTTTATAAATCTTACGATTGCTTGGGGTCGATCAGCTGCATAAATCTCATGAGCATCACTGTCCTCCATTCTAAAATTACAAGCGACGGAAATGACAACTATTGGTTGCAGCCCCAAAACGATTTGTTTTCTTTAATTGAGATTTTTTCCTTTCTGCAGGAAAATTGGATGAAGTCCAAGTTGATGTCTTACAGCTACAAGCACTGCGCAGAGAATGGATTTGAGTTTGATGAGGAAGAAGCCCAACAAGCAGAAACCTACCAGATACAAACACTCATGAAAATGTTCGCTGTAAGTTTGTCTTTTTGCCTTTGTCAATATATTTTGTTGCTAAAAACATACTGGAACCAAAAATTTCTTCTCCTATCCCCCCTCCCACACGATTCGCTCGGTGGAAATCAGGAAAACAAGGGGTGAAGAGGTATTTTACGTTCCCCTCCCCCCCCCCCCCCCCCCCCCCCATCTCATGTCTTCCCCGTTATTCAAGGGTTTTTCTTCGGATTCTCTAGTTTTCTTTTTACCGCAAAATCCTTAACTCCTATTCAATCTGTTATATAGCACGCCCTAAAGCTTTTGCCCAACGACCTGAACTCCTTTTTTTTTTCCAGCTGGCTTGCAAAAGTGATCGAGAGTTTCGTGCCTTCGATATCTGTGAACTTCTTCCAAACCAACGCTCAGTAAGTATCTTGTAATGACCGTATACTTAATCAAAGCTCATGGTTCTCCTAAGTTAAACGCCTTGAAACTCCTGCGTGGAGTTTGAAATTCATTGGCAGCGTACTTTAAAAAATACTCGAACTCAATGGTCAATACTCAAACAGTCAACTTCCTAAAGAACACGGACCAAGATCCGCCGAAACGTTAAAAAAACACAACCAAATCACAGAGAAACAAACCCGAGAAGATAAACATAAATAATTTAGAAAACACAAGACATTTTGACGTAGCAATCGGGAAAGATATCAATTCATTGGAAAGGTTCCTGTACGGGTATCATATCAAAATTGCGCCAAAATTCAGATAGAGTTCTCATTTTGTATCATAGTTACGGATACATACTGTTAAGTATCGAAAACCAAGCAAAAAAATATCAGTACTAATCGGATTCTTTCCGGCGCTTCGATAAACGTTTGTTCTGATCGGATAACATTTTGAAAGGGACGATGACATCTAGACCGCTTTTCAACTTAGCGAATCACCGCTTGGTCTTATTCTCTTGAAGGTGGGGTGAGTGATTCCACTTGTTCGGCTTTTTTTGGTCAGTTTTGGCCCCCCTGTGGGAAGACATCGGACCACTCGATTCTAGCCACTCAATCCCAGAGCTCTGTATAATTCTTACTGCGCATGCTCGCGAAATGCTAGATTTTTCAATCAATCATCGCGAGATATATTCTAACCAATCACAACTCTTGAAATTCCAAGGCTTCCCAAAGTCTCTGACATTGCGTCGAGCATGCGCAGTAAGAGCGATAGGACTCTGGGGTCGACAGTGGGTTGTAGCTACGGCATGTAGCCACCATACCTGGTAATGATGTGAGTGATTCATAATATTTGCTGTTTCAGGTTAGCCTTGCTATCAAATATGCTGCTGGCATCCGAAAAATGAACCTGGCTGAGCGTTTGAACGAATTAGCTCGACGTAAAGCCGAAGAGGAGGAAGAAGCACTAGAAAATGAATTCGATACCCAGTATGAGATGCAGCAACATGATTGGAGAAGCGCACCAAGGAGCCTTCCAAAGAAGGCTACTAAACCAAGAGTAAGGGAGCAAAGAGAAGAAGATGAGGACGAAATGGAAGACGAAAATGATCAAGATGAGTATGCTGAGGACGAAGATGATGACTCCATGACAATCAATGGTGAGTTATAACATTAATTGTTACTGACGACAAAACAAGACTACTAAACCACGCTCTGGTGATTCGTTTGGTAAAGTAAGCTTCTTCGAAGTTGAATTGCGCGATAACCGTACTGGTAACAAGAAGGACGCGCGCTGAAACATAGGGCTGTTAAGGGGCGCCATTTTTTCAATATAAATCGGACAGCTCTGCAAACTCTTAAAAAACAGACCGAAAATCAAAGTAAATGTGACTCGATTCAAAAATAAAACCTGTAAAACGAAAAAGGCGTATGGCGCCCCCGTCTCAGAAAGGCTCATTGCCCCGCATCAAGCTAAGTTGAGGGGGACATTGGGGTTGTGGTGTTAGCTTTTATTTCGCGCGGTGATTTCGTGTTTTTTTTTTTTTGAATGGGGGTGATCTCAAACTTGGCGATGTACGGCGTTATTGAACGTGCGGTGTCTGGTGAAACGATCTGATTGATTGCGGTGTCCTGTTCAAGATAAATGTCAAAGTAGTTGTACTTGTTAACTTTTACGTTGACCGGTGTTTTGTTGATTTTTCGTGCGATGAATTGGTGATTTCGTGTGTTGTTGTTKTTTTTTTTTTGTGGTGTTGCGGTGATCGAGACCACCCAATGTCCCCTTCTAAATTTCCAAGTATTAGAGAGAGACATGTAAAAAAATTTTATTAAATAATTTGGTGACCGGAATATGGACCGCTTGCTTTGTATACGATACACCTCCAAGCCCTGTCATACTTAGTCTGCGTAGCGCCCCTCAATAATTGTGGATTTAGGATTTGGAGAAGGACTACACAGGCTAGGCCATACTTGCTCCAAATGTTTATTTATCACCAAGCGAAGCTTTATCTATCCACTTTGTTCTTGTTTTTAGATAAGAGAAAATCAAGGCATTCGAGTGCCAGTGACGATGGAAAACCAAATCCCCTACTACAAAAAATATCCAAACCATCCAAGTCGACTAGTTCGCCCTCTCTCAGCTCATCTCAGGGCCGTTCAAATCCTTTCAAAGTCCTCAGCCCAAGCAAAAGATCAAGAGGAGGAAAGAGCTTCTTAGAAAGTGTTGAACAAGAACAAAAAGCAGCAACTGAAGCCACCAAAAATAAACAACGTATGTCATTGTTGTGCCTGACTGGAAGGGTGGGGGGGGAGGGGGGGGAAATAACTCAGTCACTGACTCGGCAGGGCGGGAAAAGAGAACCGATAGTTAAGAAGCACCACTCCTCTCTCAAGTCTCCAACGCCCCGCTACTGCTTATTTTGATTCTTTTGCTGAAGACGAGATTAATGTAGATTCATTGTATTTGTGGGCTATTTGTTGTATTCTTGGGGTTCAACCACATGACTCAAAATCTCTCGAGATATAAATAACTGAAATAAATGAAACAGCCGTCATGTTGGTTGATCATTAACAAGAGAAGCTAATGAAGAATGCGTTGTTATCCTCAACCAACATGGCGGCTTTGACGTAACATGCACCCTAAGGTTCGACATCTGAAAATAGTGGTAGTTAAATTTATCCAGAGCCATTTCTTTGCAGAGACGGATGCTGGCTAAGGTAAAAAATGGCTTCTGACTAAGCGATTTACTAAGTTAAATAAAAGAAAAGGATGGAATAGTCGGCCGATGGGAGGGTGGTAGTCTCAGGTTTAATCAACATGATAATGCTATCGTGGTTCCATCGATAAATCGCCGGTTTAATGCCAACAAATTTTGTTGTTGTTTTTAGCATCCGTAGCTAGGAAGAATAACAAAAAGAAAGCAACGAAAACAGCTAAGCAGATGACCTTACTGAGCCCGACTACAAAACCAGATGAACCTGCTGAAAAGGACGACAAAACAGATGAAAAACCAGATGAGAAACCAGCAAATACTAAGTACGTGCACTGCAAAGGCAATCAACATCCCAACCCTCTCCCCTCGGGGGGAAGCTGTTTCCTTTGAGTCGCTCGGGCAAACAAAAGACACTGGCCTTGAGGCGCATGAAATCTGTAAGATTAAATAGAAGTATTAAAACAAATCAGCTAAAATGTAATCCACTTTGGCATAATATATATTAAATTATTTCAACCTACGTGTCATTCCCTGACAGAGTGAAATTTATATATTGTTGTATCAGTGTGTGGTGGTAAAACGCTTGCCTCTCACCTCTGAGGTCTGCGGGCCTCGGAATTTCAAAACCCTTCCAGGCAAACCTTTAGGAAACATAGCCAAGACCCATTGATTTATCTTTACTAGACTCTATCACTATTACAAATAGTAGCATATATAGTTCCTATATATTATTATGTAAATTAATTTTCTCTATTACTTGAATACATAGAAAATCTGGTTTCACGTTTTGGCTGGAAGAGAATCGTCCTATTATCGCAGAAGAAAACAAAGACGCATCTGATGGAGAATTGATTAAGCTATCAATGAAACGATGGAAAAGTCTCTCTAATGAAGAGAAGAAAACGTGGAATGACAGAGCCTCCGGGCACGGACAAGATTCTGATGATAAAAAACGAAAACGGGAAAATACTGAAAATGATGAGAATGAAAATGTGAACGAAGCTGTTATCACCAAAACTGCCAAGAAAATCAAAGCTGCTGGAGAAAATAACGTCAGTTCCAAGCTGGCAGGCTTTGCATATTCAAAAAGTTAAGAAAAAGCATTTTTTWAAATTTTGTTCTAAATAACTACATCGTATATTGTTGATATCAAAATTGTCAAACATCGAAAGTTTTTATTTCAATAAACAGATATTACAGTAAATTATTCAAAGAAAAAAGAACAAAGAAAGTGATTAAACCCTTTCACAGGGAGCCCGGCTTTGGAATTTGTACATGAATGAATAAATAAATCAAGTGCTTTGGAATCAGTGATAGATTGTGGCAATTCTACTTTCTTGTAAAATCCTGAATTTAGAATCTAAAAATCACAATAGATTCAACTTTTACTGTTTTCTTTTTTACAACGTCAACAATCCTACACTTTTCATAGATTTTAAGAATAAATTCCAATAATTAGAAAAGGTACCTTCAGTTTTTATTCAATAAAAAAGTAGGAACTTTAGTGTTTTATCTAATTAATGGATGTGATGAAGTTTCCTATCTTTTCTCAAGTTTCGCCCTTTAAAGGAAATTCGGAAAGCAGATAAAAAGTACCTTTCTGTCGTTTTGCGAGCTGAAAAACGAAAGTACCAAAAGGTACCTTTTTCTAACGCACTGGTCACTTATTACATAATTATTGATTCTACTAATTGAAAAAGCAATTAAATGCTAAATGACGCTATCACATGTTTATTTATAATTRATATTACTATTGGCTAACAGTTTCATGCCAATTCCAAATTATGATTTCCCCGCTGAAAAGTCACGTGACTACTACTAATTATGTGACATTAATTAAAAATAGTTCGTTCAAAGCCTTATCCCGTCAAAGGCGTCAGCATCATACGAGGCGGTAGAAAGGAAAACCCAACATACTAACAAATAAGTGAAGAGCTTAAAAGAGCTTTACTCGAGGACCAAAGAGGATTTTTACCGCATTTTTTAAATTCTGGCGGGAAGTGCTAATTTATTTAACTGTTTTGGCGGAAATTACTTGCAATGTTAAGGAAACCACGGGATAAGGCTTTGAACGAGCTATTTTGGGCTATCCTTGGAACTTTTTTAATTGCCTATCGGCATATATGGGATCATATATGGAAAGTTACTGAAAAAGCCATCCCTTTTTATAGTTTTCGACTTTTTATATTGTGGGTTTAATAAACAGTACCTTTATACTCGATTTCCTACAATTGTGGAAATGCTTGAAAAAGGTACCTTTTTTGGCTTTTAACTTTTTGTGGTTGAAGACAGAAAACGAAAATAAATAGTATTTAAAATAAGTAATATTTAAAAAAGTATTAACAATAAACTTAAAGCAAATTCCTGTGAATTTTTCTATAATAAAGTGACCTTTTTTCCTGGGCGTCATTGATATACAACTATGTACGGGGAAAAAGGATTTTTTAAATTTTAGATGCTTTTTCAACCTCTAAATCCCGAAAACTAGCTAACTTAGAGAAATCCTTTGATCTGGGTGATGAAAATTTCGCGAAAGTAGAATTGCCACAATCTGTCACTGATTCTTTGGGTTTCTTGGTATATAGTATTGAGATTTGAAACAAGACGCCATGATGAATAAATCAATAAAGTACTTTGGGTTTCCTGTGTTCAGATTTGAAACAAGACGCTGATACCTAAGCACCAACGCCAAGCTCATCTACTGTGATGAGTTTAAATGTGGTAGTAATCGTTCTACCAGTAACTTGATAGCAGATTAACGTAACGCATCAATGTAACGCACGCCCTAGTAAATGGCTAGTAAATGGCTAGAGAGTGCGTTACACTAATGCAACCAAAAAAAGCAGAACCAAAAAAAAAAGGAGATAGATAGGGGGGTGCACGTGCACCCTGTGCTCCCCCCTGGTTACGACCCTGGCTATGAAGTTACTGGTAGTACAACGTATCAGCGTCTTGTTACAAACCTCAACACAGGAAACCCAAAGTACTGTATTGATTTATGTATTCATGTAGGGAATTTTGCGAATGCTGGCCAAAAAAATCGCGGGCTTCTACATAAAAGCGCCAATTTGTTTACTTTTTGACAACCTCGTTCCCAGGGCTCTCTCGGCCCGACTCCAAAACAAAATGGCGGTCGTCGGGGAGAAGGGAATTGGATCATGGAGAAGGGTCTTCTTGAATTTGTCTACTTGTCTTCTCCTCGACGACCGCCATTTTTTTTTTTGAGTCGGGCCGAGAGGGCCCTGGGAACGTGTTTGACTTTTCGAAGGATTCGTAGTGAAAGGTGATTTTATTCAGATATTTTCCGTAGAAAACTTGCAGGAAATGGAGGATTTTCGCTGAAATCAAATCTGATGCATTAGTTCTACCCTATAAAAGGTGCAAAAAGACTTTTTTCTCGCTGTAAGATTTTTTTTTAACTTCGATCATATCACTAGTGGCTTTGATGGAGCCATTTATAGCAGCACATAGTACTAGTCTTGGCTCAAACAACATCTAAAAAWAGAAATCAAAACCTTTTTGGAGGATTTCTTGAATTACATACTGATCAAGTACATCTAGTCTACCAAATGTCTTATGAGTCACGACGATGTTTGAATGTCCCAACGCTTATCAATGCATTTTACCTGGTCATGGAAAAAGTTTGGCTAAGCCTTGAAAAACTCGAAGTTTGGTCACTTTAAAAAAAGGAGAAAGGTTAGTAACTGCATTGCATTTGAAATAGCGCTTTGATTTTGACTGAGGGTAGGTGGGTCCACTTCCGCTTTCATCATCGTACAAATTGGTCGAAAATTCTTCCATGGTTTTCTCTCAAGGTTTACATGTTGTTATAACATCCTCCTTGGTGCCTCCCCTCCCTCTATGGTTTTTTTTATTTTTATTATTGTCGTTGTTAGTGGACCCACCTACCCTACCTTCCGCTTTCATCATCGTACAAATTGGTCGAAAATTCTTCCATGGTTTTCTCTCAAGGTTTACATGTTGTTATAACACCCTCCTTGGTGCCTCCCCTCCCTCTATGGTTTTTTTTATTATTGTCGTTG